AACTAATCTTTTTTTGAATCATTTCATTCATTTCAACTGGACTGGTTATTGCAGCACTGCAGCCCTCTAGTGGGCGATTAAAAAAACTGTGCAGTCCTCAAACAAGAAGGGGCAACTTGTTTGCTTAATTGTCAAAGTTTAATGCACAAATTCACCTCTTGATCTTTCTCTATCATCATTCTATAAAGCCCCATGGACCCACAACCAAATTCAAACCATGTAAACGCCGCAGAAATATCTTGTCAATATTCAATCGCCACCGGCTCTGCTTTCCCTATTGTCCTCTTGCTACTTTAGTTCACTGGACTGAACTATGGCTTGAAGTGCATTTTGAGTTCATTGCATCGTGTTATTTGGAGGCTTGGTTTGTTGTGATTTGATGAAATACAAACTACCTTTGAGTGCTGAACATTTGAGTGCTGTTTTTGTTTATCAAACTGTTGTTGTAATTTAAGGTGAGGGTGTACATTTGTTATTTGTTACATTTGTTCCTGTGGGCAAGGAAGATAACATAAACCAGATAGATTTGGTAAAGAAAAGTTATTTATCTGTAGGGTAAGAGTGATGCGCAGTAAACTGTAACAGAAAAAGGGATGCTGCTTAACCCAATGAAAACAATTTAACCAAAAGGAAATCTCTACTGAGAGAGATCGCAGCTTAACTGAGGCAAGGTAGTAAAAACAACAAACAAATTCAAAACCAAAACACAAAGAGAGCAGCCTTGACCAATTGTCACCGAGCCCAGCCAGACAGCAGGAGGAGTCGACGTCATTTGGTCCAATCCTTGACAGGCAATCCTACAGCTCATTAGCATACAGCAACCTGTACAGATTCACTCAGAGCAAAGACAGCTACTAATACACAGGGCCGTAATAACATTGTATACGTGCATCCTTAGTGACATTTGTGCAAACATTTTTAAGTAAATCTAAACATCTTAAATGTCAGGAGAGAGACCAAACACCTGTAAAAAACTAAAACTGCTGTTAAACTTTAACCTGCACATACTTTAGGCTGCATGTCTGCCAAGCTGCTCTGAAACACGAGGCCAGAGTTCCAGTTTATTGAGTAATCAGTGTAGAGGACTGCGGTTTGAAGCTGATACTTCCTGTCCTTAGCACAAAATCACCTTCGTTGGTTTTCTTAAGAGTTTTGGCCTGCAGACAAACAGAGACCTTTTGACCTTTGCCAACTCGCTAGGGGACTTTCCATGTCTCAGTTGGCTGCTTCTCACTGTTCCCACTCTTGCCCTCGCTCACTCTCTCTGAATCTCTTTCTCATTTTTAAATGTAGCACAGTAAATCATGTGACCTCCCTCCCTCTGTTCTGAAATGATAGTAATAAGAGACATCAGGAAGCAGTACAGGATCTCCGGCTCCAGCAGCAGCAGCAGCAGCAGCTCATGGCAGCTTCAGTTTTCAGAGTTGTGTGGATTATCTTGTTGCTGGTTTCTGCCTGTGGAGGTGAGCTCTGTGTGTCTGTTTCATTATCCTTTAAAACTTTCCAGCTGTGACAAAGTCTGATCTGCATTAACATTATTGACTGTTCAGAAATCTTTGATTCCTGATGAAATGTGTTTATGTGTCTGTATTTTTATCTGGGCGTTAATGCTTCGCCTCTTTTGCTGGTTTAGTTTTTGCCGTCATCTATTTACGGTTCAGTTCTTGCAGCGGTGACTTTAGGATTTTACTCTCTTGCCAAGTCCGGGTGTTGCAATGATGCAATGTATGCATTTGAAAGATTGAGTCCTCAGGCAGGAAAAACAGGTTGTAGGACCCAGAAGGAAATAAATGAATACGTTCATGAGGAAGTTTAATTAGATTAACTCGAGGTGTATAATTTACAGTTGCAGTCTAAATTATCTAAAACAAAAATTTACCACAAAAGCGGGTAACCAAACAGGAATAGAAAATTCACAGGTAACGTAAAGTCCAAAAACCAAATCCATTCATCAATAATCCAAACAGAGGAGAGGACATACAGGCAGGGCTGCAGGTAGCAGACAACAAACGATGACCACACCACGAGGACTGATGAGAACTGAAGGGACTAAAGCACCACACACACACACAGCCCGGGGAATCAACGTCAGGTGTGACACATGGGGAATCAGGGCTGACTGGACACAAAGCTGGACACAGGCAGTGAACTCTACAAAATAGCACAAGAAGTAAAACACAAGGATGGATTTACCAAAGTAAAACAGATAATACCAAACTGATTTGTAATGGAAATTTTATGTGTTTACTGTTTTACCTTTTATGCTGTATTATTATAGGCTTTTGTTTCACTTTGTGTTATTTGATACTTTAATTATGTTGCAGCTGGGTGAAGGTTCCCCTGGGAAAGTAGCTTGTTAGAGAGTTTCTTATCTGACTATTCTTGATAGGCCTTCATCTCAGGACAGCTGGTTCCTACTCTCTTCCTCAGACAGATGCATAATAACAATAGTATAAGGTCCCCTGTTTCTTCACTGGCTCTTGGTCTTACATTTGCATTCTGGCTTGAATTCTCACTAAAGGTTTAATTTCCATTAAAAATGAATTACAGACAAAACATACAAAACCAAGGACAAGGGACGAGTAAAAAAGAGAAACACATGAAGAATGACAGAATAAAACAGGAAAATATTACATTCCCAAACCAAAAACCATAAAGGAATAAAGACGCAGTGAGACAGTGACATGCAGATCAGAGCCTGAGCAAACATTTTAAAACGATCTAGTTCATATTTAGATTTAAAAAAGTAATATTCATTCATGAATATTGTCCTCTTGATGAAGATGAAGTAAAAGAAAAGTGCAAATAGGGTGGCGATGGAGCAGTGGAAAGAGACACATGCCATTGGCATGAGAGACATTGTTTCAGTTCCCACTTCGTCATAACCACCAATCTTTCCCTGAGACATTTAACCTCTGACAAACATAGCAATTTTGGATGACAGTGTCATTAAATAAGGTAATGTAGATGCAAACAGACTTCCTGAGAGTTTAGTCTGCGAAGGTCACCACAAATACGGTGTTGAACGTGTCCAAACTGTTAGGTATGACTCCTAGGCAGTTAACCTAGGCAGATTTCATTAGAGTAGAAGAAGAAGTGGACTGGATGTGGGAAGCGGGCAGACTGCTGAGCACGGAGGACAGGAGAGAGGGAGCCACAGCAACACGCCCACAACCACTCACACATGACATGACAGACAAAAAACAGAGACAGCAGGGAGGGAAGCTGTGGAAACAAGGGGACAGAGGTGGTGGCAAGGCCCAATCACGACACAAACGGCCTCCACAGCAGTTAAACTTTGTTTTCTCTGTTTGTGTTCAGACCCACAGGAGGTGACAGTGAAACCTGGACAGGACGTCTCTCTTCTCTGTAAGGCTCCCACAGGTGGTCCCATCTCACTGATAGCGTGGAGCAGACCGGACCTGAAGGCTGATGGCTACGTCTTCTTCCTCAGAGACGGTCTCCACATGAACTACCAGCATCCTTCTTACGTGGGTCGAGTGAAGCTGAGAGATCCAGACATGAAGGACGGAGACGCTTCTGTTGTTCTGAAGAACGTCACCGTCAACGACTCTGGAACATACGAGTGTCGGGTTGGAGAGGAAAAACACCCAGATGCATCTGAACCCAGCAGCATCACCAGGCTGACGGTTTCAGGCTCAGGTGAGTTTGTAGAGAATCAGATGCAGAACGTGTTTTTGTTTTATACAGAAGTTGTTGTTGCGACTTAAGTCATGTAAACACCTGTTTCTGCTCTCTCACAGCTGGAATCATCTGGGCAGGATGGAACATGCATTTTGGACTGATAGCAAGTTTTTTATTATTATTATTTGGGATTGTTGCTGTTGTTGTTGCCGCCGTCTTATGTAAATATAAATGCCCCGGACTTGTATAGCGCCTTTCTAGTCTCCACTCAAAGCGCTTTTACACTACATCTGCATTCACCAGTCATACACTGAGCCTAAGTGCTCAAACGGAAACTAGCATTCACACACATTCATACACTGGCGGAACAGCTGCCAGGGGCAAATCGGGGTTCAGTATCTTGCCCAAGGACACTTCGACACGCAACCATGGGGAGCCAGGGATTGAACCACTGACCTTCTGATTAATGGCCAACCCGCTCTACCAACTGAGCCACAGCCGCCCTTTACATTTTTGTTCTTTTCAAGAACAAAAAGAAGGACAATCCATTTCAATCCATCCAGTGACCAGGTCAGATAGTCATCAAGACTCTGATGAATCAAAATGAGAATCAGGACAATAGACAGTGTATTTTGGGCAGTAGTGGCCTAAAGCAGTGGTTCTCAAAGTGGGGTTTGTGGACCCCCAGGGGTCCTTGAGGGAGCTCAGTGGTCCACAGCTAAAAGGAGAATAATTTATTTTCACCATAATTCTACCCATAAGTAACACAATGACAGAATGTTAGATTGTTTTTGGTCACTTTTTCTAATAAAACATCCAAAAGCGAAAATCTTATCAGACAGCCCAGGGACAAACTATTATCAAGTGGGGATTCATGACCTGAAAACGTTTGACAACCACTGGACTGGAAAACAATAGTTAAAGAAACATTTTCTTAATATATATATATAAATATACAGAGAGATATATTGCCTAATGATCGTGTTGTGTGTGGAGCACGAGGTCTCATTTCATCAAGTGAAGGTCAACAGGTGGAAAACTTTGGGAGTTTGCACTTAAAAAGCTCAGTATGTGTTGCCCAGAGTAAAGAGCTGTGCTGATGATAAACCTAAACTGTGAACATTTAGGGTAACATGAATATGCTGCTGGGATATTAATTTTTGCCTTTTATGTAGAAACTGGACAGTTTGAAAAGAAAAGCGTCTCAATGTGCTGATTGACTGACTTTCCTTTTATTTGGATTATGTTGCTGTATTAAATGTCATTTATATCTTGAATGTTTGACTTTAAAATAATAATAATAATAATGTATCATTTATACATGTGTGTAATATCTAAAGATGATATATTACAGATATGTGTATAAAAACTATCCCCTCCGTGAGTTGCCACCTTATCGTGGTGGAGGGGTTTGTGTGCTCACATGATCCTGGGAGCTGTTCTGTCCGGAGCTCTCAGCTCCTCGTAGGGTTTCCCACGACAGCTTGGTCCCAGGTGACGAGTCAGACGAAGAGCAATTCAGACGACCGAAAGCTCAGGGAGGAGCGCTGTTGTTTAAAGGTGAAGATTCACGTGGCTGTGAATATGTAGAATGTATTTGTGCATGTGTATATTTATACATGTATTTACAGTGTACATGTGTATATTTATACATGTATTTACAGTGTACATGTGTATAATAAATGTGCTCTAATGCTGTTAAACTTATCAGGAGTTTTGTCTGCTTTGATTATTTTAGGGGGCTTTCACACCTGAAAGTCCTCATTTGAGGAGAGACCGGATTGCTTCCATTGTGTCCGTCTGCAGTCTGAGGGTAGCGGACACGTAACAGAATCAACAAACTGATCCGCAAGGCCAGTGACATTGTGGGGTTGGAGCTGGACTCTCTGTTGTTGGTGTCAGAGAGGAGGATGCTGTCTAAACTACATGTCATCTTGGATTCTGGAGATTTATAAATGTCCTCATTCCAGTGCATTTCTGTGTGCATTTGTTTATTTCCAGTTTACGTGGAAAACACCAAACTTCTGTAAATAGTCTGAAAGTCCGGACCATCAAAAAATGCTTTCACAGTAGAAACAAACTGAACCACGGATCCGGACCGATACTACCTCTTTTCATTGGACCAACTTTGGTCTATTTGGTCGGGACAGTGGTCCGGGGGAGGTTTCATTGATTTTGGAAATAACTAAAAAGTCTGAGAGTCCGGACCAAATGAGAGGTAGGTGTGAAAGCCCTCTTAGTTACAGATTTTCTTTAGTCCGTACCTTACGTGACGGTTGGCCCCTATCACTGTTAAAACTGTTACTTGGATCTAACTCAATAAAATTAAGACAACATTTTCCAACTATTTTTTTCAAGTTTAGTGAACTAACTGATATTTTGAGTAAAGACAACTTAATAATGTGAATTTCAATGTACGCAAAAATATTAAGTAGCATTTTCAGAAAAAGCCAATAAATTGAGTACTATCAATGTAGAAAATATCATCATTTTATACACATTAAACTTAATTAAAATAGGTAACTTAAATGAAAAAAATAAGTAGATAATGTTCTGATTTATTAATTTTGATCAATTTACCCTCTTTGTTTTGAAAGTGTAAATAGCTTCAAATAAATAGTTGCTACTATGTCAATTTCCAACATTTTTTAAATCATTGCCATATCCAAAACAGTAGCAATGAGCTGGACAGTATAAACATTGGTATGCAGGCATTCAAGAAAACATGCCCTCAGCAAATAAAGTGCAGGTTAGTGGAACACATTCACAGTAGTTCTGTGTACATAATGTTACAAAATTTTAAAATTAAGTAACAATTTACAAACCAAATTCAAAATGAGCTGGATAGTGTTAACAATCAATAACATCTATTCATGCATTAAAAAAAGCATGACCTCAACTTATAAAGTGCAGGTTAGAAGAACACCTTCAAAGTATATTTTACTGTGTGTACATACATAATATTAAAACATTTTAATATCAAGTTAACTGGCACTTGCTATTTTTTTAACAATTCACATGCCATATCCAAATACTGGGAATGAGCTGGACAGTATAAACAATCAAGAACTTCTGTATTCATGTATTAAACAAAATATGACCTCAGCTTGTAAATAGTAGGTTAGTAAAACACCGTAAAAGGATAGTTCACTTCAAAATGAAAATTCTGTCATTTACTCACCCTCAAGTTGTTTTAAACCTGTATGAATTTCTTTCTTCTGCTGAACACAAGGAAGATATTTTGAAGGATGTTCTTCCATAGTCTTTTTATTTTTTTCTAATATGGAAGTCAATGGGTCCAGTTAACTGTTCGGTTACTGACATTCTTCAAACATCTTCCTTGTGTCCTGTAGAGGAAAGAAATTCATACAGGTTTAAAACAACTTGAGGGTGAGTAAATGAGGACAGAATTTTCATTTTGAAGTGAACTATCCTTTTAACAGTACAGTGTGAACATAATATTGAAACATTTTAAACACTAACATTACAGGTCACAAGCATGACCATCTGACCTCAACTTGGCATAATACCTTCACAGCGTGTGTGAATATTTTGAAACATCTTTAGTCAAACATCTCACTGATCTCACCTACTGACCAGTTTTTAAAGTGCAGCTTCATAGCAGGTCTATTTTGTGTGTATAAAATATAATTACTTTTTCACACCAGGAAGTATGACCTGTGTACAGTATAAAACATGACAAGGATAAACCATTACAACACCCTGAATGTCCAATTATGTCCAATATAACATTGGACATAACACCCATTATGTCCAATGTATAATGATGTTGAACAGACAAAGAAAACAGCTGTTCACAAGTGCAGTGACAGTCATGTCTGAGTGCCTAGGCAAGGAGTTTGTTTTTCAGGGTCATGAACTTGGGGCTTGGTTTTGGGCGCAGTGTGTCAAGTCCCACGAAAAGTCTTTGAAACACCTCAAATGTTTTGGAAAGCTTGGATGGATACTCGAGATTAAGTGCATATGTCAACCCAACCAGGAAGCAGCATGCTTTGGCCAGGTTTCCAAGATTGGTAAGGACTGGTATTCCCTCAATGATGATTCCTACTGCATCTGGCTCACGGCAGACATAGATGCTCATGTTCTTAATTTTCAGGTCCTCATGAACAGTGGTCTCTGCGGCCCCCTTTTGAGATACAAGATAAAGTATTTAAGACAAACAATCTCATTTATTAAGAAAAATAAATAAATGCATAAATAATCCACTACCTGCCAAATGCTGGTTCATTCAGTTCACATTAAAGGGAAACGCTTGCCAAAATTTAACCTAGGCTATTTTTGTTAATCTACCAGAGTCATTCTTTCTTGTAAAAGCATAATTAGAATGGAAATGCCACTCTCAAGATAGACTTTTTTCATATGAAGTCGAAATGCCTTTTGAATGGGAGTGCTAGGGGCACTACAATGATGGCATAAAAATCACTATTTTTAAAACACTAAGAAGGCTCAACACAACATGAAACTGTAATTGAAGTGTCACCAGGGGCTCTACACATGGACTCGAGCATTGACAACATTGTGTACCGTATTTTCCGCACTATAAGACGCACCTTCAATGAATGACCTATTTTAGAACATTTTTCATATATAGGGCGCACCGGATTATAAGGCGCATAAGATACTGCAGTCAAACGTTTGACTGGGTTTGCGTTATGCATCCACTAGATGTGCCAAAGGGAATGTAGCGAATGCGCGGCGCCGGAGGTGAGGCGTTTTAGTAAGCGTGAGCGCGCTGGGGCGGGCACGTAACTTGCATTCGCAGCCTGACTCATGAGTATTCATGTGTGGCGGCTCGCTGACAACAACAGCAGGCTGTTTGAATGAGACGACCCGGTTGTCAATGTTGTCAATGCTCAAGTTCATGTGTAGAGCCGCTTTAGTGTTTTAAAACTAGCAATTTTGATGCAATCATTGTAGTGCCCCTAGCACACCCATTCAAAAGGCATTTTGACCTGAAAACGAAAATACGGTCAATCTTAAAAGTGGCATTTCCATTCTAATTATGCTTTTACAAGAAAGTATGACTCTGGTAGATTAGCAAAAATAGCCTAGGTTGCAATTTGGCAAGAGTTATCCTTTAACAGTCCGCACAATTTAAACATGTTCACCAGACTGACCCAAACCTGCTTTGAGACAATACTTACACAGTAATCCGAGATAAGCTCCTGTCCACTCTCTCCCATATACTCAAAGAGGCATCTCAGAGTGACATCTCTCTTCTTCACTGTAGTGGCACTTGGGTCCTAGTTAATAGAACAATAATGAATAACTTATTTTTGTTGGTAAATTCACTCCAACCCTGTAATTACTGTAGGTCTGTATTATTTTTTCTTTTTTTATTCATTATAATATATTAATAGTAATAACACGAGACAATTTAGAAAAAAACTGGCTAATTAACAAAAAAACAACAAAACAAAAGAAAAACCACCCAGATAAGCAAGATGCTGAAAAAACTGAAAAACAAAACCACTCAATTGATTAATATCGTACCTTAACTTTGTAACCAATTTTTCCCTACCTGTATCAGATCCATCAACAACTTTTTGATGCGTTGACCAGTTGCTCCTCCCTTGGCACTAAAGAGTTCTAGGAGCTTTGGGGTGTATTTGTCCAGCTGTGACATAAACGTCGCTTCCAGGGAAACTGCAGTACATCTTCGGAACTCCTCGTTTACCTGTAAGACAGCAAATGTTTGACTTATTTAAGGGGGTTTAAAGATTAATCTACTATCTCATGTCCAAGTCACAATTTCTAAAAAGTTCTCAGAAGTGAGTAGTGTCAGCAAAATCTGAATGATAAGTCACTTACCTGGAATGGTCCTTGAATTCTGCCACACCAGGAGACTTGGTAATAACTTCCTGTCTTCTCCAGCTGTATGTTCTGGCCATCATATCATTTGTGCTCCTGACAGAGTCCTTTGTCTGATGGGCAGCAATTAGGTCAAGTCTCAGATTCTCAAGGGTGTCATCTGTTTCACCATGTGGGTGTGAGGGCAAGTAATTCACCTCTGCCCTCTTTGGTTTCTTGACATTTTTAGCAGCTTTTCGCTCATCACTTGACTTGTTTCTCAGTGAGTTTATCAGGAGTTCAGTGCTTCCAAGTGCTTTCCGTTTTGTCCGGTAGTTTCCACACTTATACTTTAGGCTTACCTGCCACCCATAAATTCCATTAAAAGATCCGGGCTCCTTTAAGCAGGGATGCTTTGCAACTAGTGCCTCTGCCACTGCACATCTCTGGGCATCATTGGGGTAAGCTGTGTAGAAAAACATGGCCTCTGCCAGGCGCTCCAGGATGTCTGATTTGATACTTGGTGATGTCATAGGGGTGCCATCTCTTAAATAAATCTCATTTCCTTGTCTTAAGGCCAGTTCAGTGTTGTGTGAGAAGGTTGGAATTGGAAACACAGCAGCCATGGGCTCTGCCTTTCAGAGGGGGATGGACTCGGAATGACGGTATCCACTGAGTTCCCACTGAGACTCGTACACTCACAGAGAGAGCTGACATCAGAGGCATCTGGGGTGCTTTCCTGGGGAACAACGGTCAGCGTCAACTCCAGCGGTGTATACACAACTTTAAGTGTGCACTTATCTTTCAGCTCATTGGTAGATGTTAGGGTGAAGAAGTCATCAAATTCCTCATCTTTGTATTGAAGACTTATATCTGTGGGGATGGAAAAATGTTCTTTGACAGCTGCAACCAACTCATTCACAGTTGAGGGCATGCCACTGCTGAGAGTGAGTTTCTTGATTTCATGATCGATGAGGACCCGGAATCTCACAGTTTGCTCCATTTCTAAGAAGAGTTATGTTGGAGACAGATGTGGCGCTTCAATATCACCATTTGCTTTCCTGCAACAATATAGGCAGACAGAGGATATACATCAGTAAGGCATCGTTGCTCAACGAGAGTTATGTGGTCTGTCTTCTCCAGATAATATCCGCGATAATGTTCATCAAACCAGGATATCTGTGTTCTCACAATAAAATACACTCTTTCCTCGATAAGTGCAATTTGAAGAATCACTGCAAAATCAGGAAGACCTGCAGTAGAACCAAAGGCCACAATCATGCCTTTTGAGTACCTCGATCCCTGATAGGTGACTGTGTCAGCCAGCTAAACATGAGACTGAGAAGGAGATATATGCCTGATTGACTCCTGAACATTTACATGTAGGACATCCACTGTTACTCTTACAACACTAAGAGCAGGCAAAACTGTTGTGGAATGCAGGTTGTGGCTTATCATAAGCTGGTGCTTTGTAGCCAGGGACAGGAGAATGTTCTTGAAGTTGCCAGTATGCCTTACAATCCGTTTAAACTGGCT